GTGAGTGCTAACAGGAGTCTCACAAAGAGGCTTCGTCTCCAGATGACAAGTTCACAGTTTCCTCCCAGAGCCCCTCAAAGTGGCAAAACCCCAGCTGGATAGGAAAGGGATCTCGATACTCAAAACAGTGTAAACATCTCCCTCTCTTCTTGGAATGACCAACTATGGAGGGACCCAACCAACAATGGTGGGAGGCCCAACCCACCTGGGAGAGGCCCTGGCTTCCCTAGCAGCTTCTCAGGAAATGGAGGTTAACTCCAGGGTTCCTTGTGTCTCTAGTAAGTTTCCAGCTGATGGGAGTTCTCACACTCCCAGCTTCTTTTCTTCCTCATTTCCTATGAAGAGCTTGTTGAAACTGGAACAGTGAAGAGCTGAGTCAAATTCTCAAGTTAGCTCTGGATACTCAATGGGCATGTGCAAGTTCTCTGCATGACCCAAGGCTGAGTCATCCTCACTTTGGCCTCTGCCCAGTACAGTGAACTTGGATACTGTGAAATAAAAAAACAATTTTTATAACAAGTTCTACATGCCAGAAAGATTTTAGCTGACCAATGAGATATTTAAGGATCTGTAATATATAAAGAGCTCTTGAAAAACAATGACAAAAGACTGGAAAGTATTTTTTTGCAAAAATTCAAAAAAGATAAAAAAATACATACACACACATAAATATATACACGCATATTAACATTATTATTAATATGTTATAATAACATATGTAGCATACATATATATGGAGAGAGGGAGAGGGAGAGAGAGAGAGAGAGAGAGAGAGAGAGAGAGAGAGAGAGCAACTTCAGTACTGATTAAGGAACAAAAATTGCTCCAAGACTTTTTGCTTTTGGTTTTGATTTGTCTATCAGATTGGCAAAGACATAAAAAGCTGGTGTCACTGGTGTCACTGATGGCTAGCAAGAGCTCATATGGGCTCAGTTGGAGGGGTGGGGACCAGGTAGACTGGCTGATCAGAGTCTAAATCTCAGACTCTCCATGATAACAGTTACTTACAAAGAGATAAGCTTATAAAAAAAATGAACAAAGGTGTAAAGGTAGATAGGATGGGTATTTATCCTGGTGTTCTTCTTAACAGTAAAGTTTAAAGCTGGGTGTGGCGGCACACACCTGCAGTCCCAGCAATTGGTAGATGGAGGAAGGAGGATCTGGAGTTCAAAGCCAGCCTCTACAGAGTTTAATGAAGATGTGTGTGTGTGTGTGTGTGTGTGTGTGTGTGTGTGTGTGTGTGTTAGAAAGAGAAGGATTAGAAACACCTTCATTGCCGTCCTAGAAGAACCAAGCCTAGAGGAATCCACAGGAGCCTCTCTGAATATCTCTCATTCCAAGTTTAAAGCTCTCTCAGTCATAGAATATTTTTTTTTAATTTTGTTTATGGGGAGGGGGTTGGCACATGTGCTGTAGTGTGTGGCAGGTGTATGAGTTGATTCTCTCCGTCCACCACATGGGTTCCAGGGAGAGAACGCAGGATCTTAGGCTAAGTGGCAGGCACTTTTACCAACTGAGCCATCTCCCCACCTTGGCAAAAAATAAATAAAATAATCTTATAAACCAAGTGCAACGTTGACTTCCAAACTTGACAAAAACTTGGATAAACATTGTTTAAAGATTTATCTTATTTGTGATTTTGTGTGTGCACATGAGCAGAGGTGCCCTCAGAGACCAGAGTGTGAGATCCCCTGGAGCTGGAGTTTCAGGCTATTGTGAGTGGCCAGAACTGGATGCTGGGAACCCAACTGCCACCCTTTGGAAGAACAGCAAGCACTCTTAACTACTGTGGACCTATCTCTGCACAAGACATATCTCTTTTCTCAAAAGAGAAATTCAAATAAAATGTAAGCAGGCTGAATTAAGATGCCCGGAAAAACCAAGCATGCTTCAAAGCACCAGGGAGTGTGTGACTAGAGCACCAAAGGTTCGCTCCAGGGATGGCCAGGGTTTCTATAATAGGGATGTCATTTCGCGGAATCCCTGGCAGTCCAATGAAGTGACAGAGATGACTTTGAGGTAGCCACCCAGCCTCATGCTTGTTATGTTAAAGGTTACTATGTCAAACCCCTGAACTAGCAACAAACAAGTCTTGTCACCACTGTCATCCAACTCCATTAGAGTTGGTAGCAAATGCAATCAGACAAGACCAAGAAGTAAGATAAAACCTGGTGTGTGGGAGCATGCAGTGATGGCTCAGCCTATAAGAGTACTGGCTGCTCTTACAGAGGATCCAGGTTCAGTTCTCAGCAACCACATGGTAGCTCACATCTGCCTGTAACTCTAGCCCTTAGGGAACTGACATCTTCTTCTGGCCTCTGAGGCCTCTGTGTTCATATGCACAATTCCCCACACACAGACTCACAATTTTAAAAACTAAAAAATTAATACCACTGGATTGTCTATGGCCAGCCAGCTCCTGAATAAATGAATGCCACAGACAGCTCAAGCCTTAGCTCAGGCCATTTCTTTGACCAGCTCAAATAATCTAATTAACCCGTTTATTGTAATCTAAACTCTGCCACGAGTGTCGCTTTCCTCTGCCTCTGGCTGGCGAATCTCCTGTTTCTGACTGTAGAGAGCCGTGGAAAGCAGAGACATCTCTGGCAATCCGATGCTCTCACAAGTTCTGTAATTTACTGTCTTTGTGTGAGGGGAAAGCGCGCGAAGTCACAAGCCCATCCCGGGGCATATAGGATTTTATGGGCATTTGACCAACCAGATATGTACACATCACTCCAGGGGGTATTTAACCAGGGCCTTCCCGGGGCTCGGGGCCTTTTCCGCCAGCCGGTTTCCACCAGCCGGCTTTTTCCCAGCGGGTCTTTCCTCTATAACATCGTAATAAAGATCTGCTGAAGAACGTTGGTGTCTGTGTTATCTCGCGGGCGAGAACACACCACCCACATCTGACTCTTTCTCCAGAGTTCCTATCTCTACCCAGATGTCTCACCTTTCCTCTCCTATCCTGCTATAAACCATTCAGTTCTTTATTAGACCAATCAGAGGTGCTGAAGAAGGTTTACAAAACACTGAGACCATAGAACTTCAGAAAAATAACAATACCAAAGTCTGAACTCAACTCTCTGCAGGGGCAGAAATCAGCGCTTTATACAGCGCACAGAAGACTGTCAACAAATTGGGGCTGGTGAGATGGCTCACAGGGTAAAGGCACCTGCTGCTAAGCCTGATGAAATCTCTAGGATCTCATGGTAAAATGAGAGAACCAGTTCCATCAAGTTGTCGGCAGACCTCTACATGTGTGGCTCACCACACAAGGGCAGGCAGTAGTGGCAGACCCCTCTAACTCTGGCACTGGGGAGGCAGAGGCAGGTGGACCTCTGTGAGGTTGAGGTCAGCCTAGGCTACAGAGTGAGCTTTAGGCCAGCCAGAGTGATGTGGTGAGACTTTATCTGGAAATAAGTAAGTGAAATGAAAATCTGGGAGGAAGACAGCGGTTGAGGACAAAATCATTGTCTACAAGTGACAGAAAAACCCAACAGCCCATGGGAAATGTAGGAGAAGCCTATGTTACAAAATCAATACTCTTCACACCAACACACGGGTCCGCATGAATATGCACCAAAGCCAGACTGGAAAAATGCACCCTGAGACTTAATTTGTTTCAAAATAAAATACCAAGGATAACAAGGGTATAAAGGTTCTTTTCTCTTTTGGTGCATACACACACGTGTCTGTGTGCACGTGCGTGTGGGGGCCAGAGGTTGACATCAGGTGACTTCCTTAATAATCTGCCACCTTATTTCTCAACAGCTTCTCTGGCGGCACCTGGAGCTCACTGGTTTGGCTAGATGGGCTGACCAATAAACTCCTGCTATCCACCTGTCTCCACCTTCCTAGATATCTCCCTTTTCCAATATACTATTTCCCATCTTCTATCTCCACCACCTCAAAGAGCAGCTGCCTGCCAGTCAGAGTCCCCTCACCTGCCACCAACCACACTAGGATTTTACTCAGGACTTCCTGCCATCAGAATGTGCCACAATACATTTCTGGTCTTTAAGCTGCCTAACCTAAGGTGCTTTATACAGTAGCCTGAGCTGACTACTACATGGCACCGCTGTGAACATTTCACAAAACAATGGATAGATGGGGAGGAAGACACCGCCCTGCCTTCATCCTCCTAGCTCCTTGCTCCTTGTTCCGGTGAAAAGTGGTCACCTGCTTCACCTCCCATCACCTCCTCATTCAGAAAAATCAGAGTTTACTTCTGCCAACAGCTGCTTTGGGTTAAATGATAGAATTGTCCTATACTTGTGAAAGGCTGTTGAGATTTTAAAGCTACTGTGCACAGGGTGACCTAAGGGGACCCATCCACTGACACCCATAGGGTTGTGTGAGGGTCAGACTGTGTTCTCCACACACCTAGCCTGCAAATGTCTCTGGAGATGAGAGGTGAGTTCACTAGGAAAATCAAGATCCAGTTTGACCATGGGTCAGGACATGGGCTCACAGAGGATAGTTACGTGAGGACAGGAAGAAGATGCCATCTGCAACCCAAGGACAAAACTATTTGGAGAAGCCTGGTGGGCAGCACCTTGATTTAAAATTTCTAGCCTCCTGGTCTGTCCACCTGAGCCATTAGCCACATATGTCTCCTATGGTGCGTCTCGCAGGGGAGGGGCATCTACTGAGGCTGACTGTAGCCTCCTGTTTTGGTATAGATAAGATGTGAGTATCCCTAAGTAGTCTCCTTGTTGAAAATTATAACCACAGACGTTTAAAATAAGTGCTGTTCACATGCACCACAAATAGAGTGATTGGGAGATAAAGCTGTCATACACACACGATAGAATCTTGTTCCATTCCCAAGTTCCAAAAGAAGTGCAAAGTGGTGGTACACACTTGTAAGCCCAGCACTTTGAAGGTAGAGACAGGAGGGTCAGAAGTTCAAGGTCATCCTCAGCTGCCTAGGAAGATGGAAGAGGGCAGCCTGGGTTCCAAGAAACCTTGCCTCAAAAATCATCATTTATGTTTAGGAGGAAGGCACCTGCCACCAAGCCTTGCGGATCTTCAAGCCAAGCCACCAAGCCTTGTGGACCACCTGAATTCAATGCCCAAGACCCACACAGTGGAAGGAGAGGCCCTGACTCTCACAAGCTGTTCCTGACTTCCATCCATGCCATGGCACGCCTATGTCCTCCACCAAGAATAGATAATGTAATAATGTAAAATAAAATGAAATGCAAGAATTAACTAATTGATTAATTAATTAATTAAAAGCCAGGATTAGTAGATCCCAGCACTTGGGAGTTAAGGAACGAGGTGGGTAGCAGCTTCCATGACGTGCCTCACTCCCTGGCAGCGCTGGGTGATGTCCTGACTACGAATCAGCATCTGATATCAAATGAAGGCTGGGGAGGGTGGACCACAGGGGTTTCGAGGGTGGAAACAGCACATCCCACACTGTGCCTGGCAAGAGGGGACGGGGAGCAGGTGAATGCATAGGGGTACCATAAGGGAGAAGCAGAGAACTTCCACGTGCACAGTGAAGTCTGCCTTTGCAACGGTGACCTGGACAGTGTGAGTCCTGTGCCCTTGGCTGCAATGAATACCTCCCTCTGAGTTCCCAGCAGTCCCCACTCCAGGCCTCAGAGAAACCAGATCCCATAAGACTGCTAAGCCCCTCGAATGCCTGTGATTCCTAGGCTGGTGTTTGGCTTAATTAAGACTTGAACTTTAATGGAGTTCTCACGATTACCTTAAGGCACTGCAGGTCTGTAAGCTGATATTTCCTGGTTGCAGGATCTCAGGATGGAATCTCAAGTCACCTCTTGGGCACAGGAAGTCGTGGCTACCTGGGGCAGCTAGGAGCCCTGCTGCACAATCAGCCTGCTGTTCCCGGAGTTATTTAAGAGTCCAGGGCATCCACGTTTCCCAGGGGTTGGTTGTGGGTGGGGAGGGATCAGTTCTGCAGAGAGACATTCTCACTATTTGCTTGGCTTTGATGCAAAGGAGAAGTGAGCTGTGCATCTGAACTCGCCTTATCGCTCCCAGACTTCTGACACACAGGTGCTGGAGTTAAATAGCAGTCTCCCTCCTCGCCTGCCTTCCTGCCCTTCAGCTTAAAAAGCAAACACGGTGCTTTTATAAAATGAGAGAACCATAGTGCTTGCTGTTTAAACAGGTCCACATGTTTCTCCTTTTGGGTCTCCATTTTGGGTCTTTTTTTTTTAATCAATTTTTTATTATATTTATTTAAAGTGTGTGTGTGTGTGTGTGTGTGTGTGTGTGTGTGTGTACATCACAGCAAGCCTGTGGAACGGAGAAAACAACCCACAAAAGTCGGTTCTCTCCCTCCACCCTAGTCTGGATTCTTTAGAGGAACAAAACCTATAGGACGAATGACAGATCTCATAGTTTAAAGTCAGTTTGGTCTACAGAATGAGTTCCAGGCCAGCCTGGTCTTCAGAGTGAGTTCCAGGACAGCCAGGGCTGCACAGGGAAACCCTGTTGTGGGGGGCGGGGCAGGGAAAAGGTGGAGCTTCCCACTTTAGTAAGTTCCAGATATTGTCAAATTGATAGCCAAGAACAGCAAATTGTGCATCCCAGGTATTGAACTCTGGCACAAGTACCTCTACTATTAAGCCACTTCACCAAATTGTTTTGGGTTTTGTTGTTTGTTTTGTTTTAAGGTTTTTATTTTTATTTATATGTATGTGTGTCTTATGTGGGTATGTGCACCTGAGTGCAGGTACCTGGAGAAGCCAGAGGGCTTTTTGAGACAAGGTTTCATACAACGAGCCACCCTGGCTATAAAATCAAAGCAACCCTACGTCGGGTTCCCTTTGGGCTTGCAAGCATGAGCTGCCACACCCGGTTCTGCTACTCCACTTCTAAGAACAGTTCTTTCTTGTTGGCATGAGGTAGGCTACACCCTGGGAAAGATCTCACCCTACTTTATGCCATGCTGCTCTGTCCTCAAAATAAAATTCTAGAACAGGAAAGATAAATCCATCCCAGACTGACCTGGGGACAGGGTTAAGAAGGTTTTGCTGGGACTTTCCAGTCTATTCAGAATCAAAGCAATGCTGGATCTGAGCTACGTTCCCACCCTCAGCCACTTCTCCACACCTAAGTCTGGGATGGATTCATTGGGACCCATGGGTTCATCCTAAAGCCAAGGTTGGTGCCTGAGGCACAAGAACTGTAGCAGCTCCAATGCCTACACAGCACCAAGACTTGAATGGAAGGCACCTCTCTTCCCTGTCCAGACCCAGCAAGACATTCAGGGGCCCTGAAATCTGGTGTGTGTGGTGGTGTGACGGTTAATGTTGATATAAACTTGACAGAATCCAGAATCGAAAGAGATACACCTCTGGGTGTGTCTGTAGGAGTTTCTAGGTTGGATTGTCTGGGGAAGGAAGACCCACACTGAATATAGCTGGCACCATCCCACGGGCTAGGGACCTGAGCTGAATCAAAAGGAGAAAGTAAGTTGAGCACCAGCCTTCATCTCTCTCCACTTCCTCACTGTGGATGTCATGTGACTAGCTGCCTCAAGTTCCTGCTACCGTGCCTTCCCAACATGATGGACTGCACCCTCAAACTGTGAGCCAGAATAAAACCCTCTTAAGTTGTTCCTTGTGTTGTATTTGTCCCAACAAAGGGACATGGACCAAGCACTCTTGAGGAATGGTGAGCTGTGAAGATGGGGTGACTCGGGACAGTATCTTCAGTACCATGTGTGCAGCCAGAGTGATTCAGCTTCCAGGCCCTGGTAAAGGAGGCACGCAGTCCCTACTCCCTGCTCCAAATGCCTTTACCTCTGCACCATAAGTATTCCCATCTCTACCCTTCTCAGAGAAAGCGAGCATGCATCTTCAACAGGAACAGTCTATGTTCGATACCGTCTGCCACAGGGCTATGGATGTCCACTTGGTGACCTGTAATCTTCACCCAGCCTGCCTGAAGCTATCACCATCCCTTTTACTGACTACCTGAGAGACTCCTGGAGGCAAGAACTCAGGGGAAAGATCATGGACTGGTGTGTCTCCTGCTCAGCTTCAAGAATGGCAGAGGAAGCACTGAAGGTAGGGACCTGTCTCCCCCCCACACCCCCTGTAGCCCAGAGTGGGTCTAGAAGCAACAGAGCCCAGTGAGGGTTAGAACAAGCTGACTTTCAGTACAGACTCCTGACTTGGTGTTCGAGGCTCCGGAGACAGCTCTTTTCCCAGCACCGCTGCCCTTACCCAGCCATCGCAAGCCCAAGGTTCACAAGTACTCTTTCCAAGTTCTCAGTGAGCCTCCAGCCTCTTGTGTCAGTAGCCACCCCCTTGAATTGCCACTAATTCCACAGAAGCCACCTGACCCAGAACACCACATGAGATTTCAAGATGGGAGAGCCACAGGTAGACAGCCTGTCCTAGAGTAAGAAAGGCCTCATAGTAGGACCAATTATATGGTGTAAGCCACACTCCACAACTCTCCCATGAGGTCAGCTGAGCCCAGTCTCTGACTAAGACACTGCCTCCGCTACTTTCAGACTGAACCCAGGCCCTGGCACAGGTGTTCAAGCACAGAGCTACACTTCCAAGCCCTCAATAAATCACATGGAAGAACCAAACCCCAGTCTCAGGCTCTGCATCCTGAAACACTTAAGAGCCCCATGACACCTCCATGTCAGAGTGTTAGTCTCTGAGACTTGAGTCGATGGCACACGTTGTGGGAGCCCCCCTCATGACATCTCAAATAAGCTGGTCCACCCACCTACCATGAAGAATGCGTGCACCCTCCATAGTCCAGACGGACTGGCACCTAGAATGTAGTGTTTTCTGGCTACTCCAAGGCAGGATCAATCCCATTTCTGAAACACTCTTCTACCTTTCCTTATAGATTTTTCTGGAACAGTCTTCTATCATTCCCACAGATTCACACCATCCCTACTTGCTTCCCGTTATTTGGGTCAGTCCTGAGCTGCCATCAGAGCCTCATGGTCTAATTTATCCACCACTGCATTCCACATCAGAGCAGTCAACTGTCAGTCCAGGCACTGTAGAATTCCTCGACTCTCAGGCAGGCCACCTTCTTCTCCTAGGTATTTGTTGGCAGCTCAGATGGCACCCTAAATGGACCTAGTTTAGAGCAGGGTCACCCTGGTGTCTCCAACACTGACCCCACTTAAATAGCTCTAAGGACAGAGAGTAAGAATTTCAATTTCTCTCCCTCTACATCCTCAGATACATTGACCAAACTCTCCCCAAAAAGGGTTACAGATGAAACCAGGCTGTGAGATCTCCCTTCCCTCCTGTGGCCTCTGACCACCTTGAACAGCTTTCCTAAAGTCCCCTCAGAGGCACAACTGCCTGCCGGAGCTATCCCTTTCTCCATGACCCCATCACCAAACGGAGTCTGTTTAACAGTATGTGAGTGTCCGAACTGGCCAATATCATCCAAGATACTGGGTTTTTTTCTTTTTCAATGAACTAGATTTTTTTTGCATTAGCCAAGAGGAAAGAATGTGAGGGGTGGGGCACTCGATGGGCCATTAGAACAGGGGTGTGGGCCTATCAAGGGCTTCCTATGGCTTCTGTAACCCACTCAGGCAGACAAAGCACAGGTGATGTCTGAGGAAGACAGAAAGTTTTGTGTTGGTATCTGCAGCAGATAGCTAATGTGCTAGGCTCTGCCCCTCACCCTCCTCTGCAGACCAGGACTGCTTTGCATAAGCTGTGGGGATAGAGACTGTAACAAGCTGTATGGGGAGCAGCAGGGCCCATCCTGAGATTTCCTGAAGCCAGGTTGCAAGGACAAAGGGAGTTTTGTGTAGGCTTCTCCCTCCTAGGACTCAGAAGTCCCTTAGAAGACATCAAAAGTGTTCTGTGCACACAATAGGAGCTCCCTCCTCCTGGGGTGACTGCCTCAGAATATGTCTCCCGATTAAAGTTTCCTGATTAGTGTAAGAAGAAAGACAAGTTATGCACCTCTGGGAAATCGCAGCTCCCCTGTGGCTCTTTTCCTCCCTGGATGGTGTGAATTGCTGACCATGGGGAAGGCGCATTTTGTACTTTATGAGATCAACCACTTACTTTTCAATATTTCCATACAATGGCTTTTCATAAAACCATGTTACCAAAATATATATCCTGGGGCTGAAGAGGCGGCTCAGTGGATAAGAGTGCTTGCTGCACAGGCATGAAGACCTGAGTTTATAATCCCCAACACTCATATAAAAAGTTGGTGTAACCTTGTGAGTA